AAAGGGCCATCAGCACTCAAGGCAATAGGAGAGCTTTATTTAACCCAAGAACAACAAATAAAATAAGGATCTCATTTTTGTTGTCATTCAGTCATGTCTAACTCTTTGTGACCCTGGTTTTCTTAGCAAAGATACTAGTATGGTTTGCCATTTCCTTCTCCAGCTTATTTTACAGATGAGGAAGCTGAGACAAACAGAGTTAAGTGTGTTGCCCAGGGTCCCACAGCTAGTAGGTATCTGAGGTCAGATTTAAACTCAGGTCTTCCTGACTCTAGGCCCAGTGCTATATCTGCTACACTACCTAGCTACCCCCAGGATCTCATACCTATTCCCAAAATATAGCCGAGACAACACTCCTTCCCTTTCTAGTAAGTCCTGACTCCACAGAAACTTAAATCATCTTCTAGACTTAAAGTACTACTTACTCCAAGCCCCAAATCCAACAAATACATACTGTACAATGGGAAAGAAGTCAGGGTGACTAAGGAGTCAAGCATTCTTCCCTATTGGTGAACCTCCATTCTTCCAAACTTGTTCTTCTGCTCTTCTGGATGGAAATTCCTCCTTTTCCTCTAACAAAAGGGGGTGGGGAGAAGCATCCAGGTTGCCAAAGAATCCAACAACATACAGATCTTGTTATATATCTTCTTCTTCCCCAGACTTGGACTTACTCAAACTTCAAGGGAAGGGTGTGGTTCTGTCCTTTGCTGCTCCTTGCCCCTGGCTTTAATCCAAGAGCGCTTCACTGCTCCCTGCAGATATCTCTCACAGAGGGTAGTTCCCTGAATGCCCCTGTGGACATACATTTCCCCCTCCACAAAACCAAATCTCAGTCTCTGTATATCTGATCTTTTTCTTATCCTTATTCTCTTCCAGCTCTTCACGTCTTAAAGCCCATCTTGTCCAGTAGAAAGTCCCTTCCCCAGCACACATTCTTGACTTTGTTGGACAGTAGACTACTGTTTTTGTTTCTATGTCTTAATTGCCTTATTTCTTCACTGATCCAGTCTTTTCTTTCCTTCCTTCCTTCCTTTTTTCCTTCTTTTCTTTCTTTCTCTCTCACACTCTTTCTCTCTCTCCCTCCCTCTCTCCCTCCCCCCGTCTCCCTCTCTCTTTCCCTCTCCCTCCCTGTTAATTTCATTACTTTAATTGATAGGTTTCTTGCTTTTCTGAGGTGATGGTGGGGAGAGCAAGGAGATAATGTGGCAAGTTTAACTAGTTTTATTGATGTTAAATATTAAGATTTCTTCAGCTATTAAAATTTTGTTTTAAATTTTATTAATAACTTTGTTTTTGTATAATTTCTTCTAAATATATCCGTAACTACTTCCCTATTCAAAAAGTCATCCTTTGTAACAAATTTTAAAAAAGAAAAATGTTCATCAAAAACAAATACCGCATTTACTATATCTGGCAATTTATACAGTATCTCATATTTATAGTCCCTACCTCGGCAAGTAGGAAAGAGGGAGGTAATTCAGTTTTGTGTTTTCGTCCTTTCAACTTACTATTTGCTATAGTCCATTGTGTATATTTTTTGCTGGACCCGTTTAATTCCCTCTTCATCAGGTCATACAGATCTTTCCATGCTCCTCTGAATTCCTCATATTCATCATGTTGTGTGGTACAGTTTTATCACATTAGCCCTAATTTGCATATCCCAAAACAATGCCTTGTCCACACACTGACTAGCAGCTAAAGGAAGTTTGCAAAGCACAGGGGCTTTCATTCATTTTGCCTTGTCCTCCAGTTGATGGGCATCTACTGTTCCTGGTTTTCTACAGTGAGATGTCTGAGCCAAAAGCATGCTGAAAAAGTAAATGTTATTAAAACTTCCTCTAATTATTCTCATATATTGTTGTTTTTGCTATAAGTATTTAGTTCTTGTTTTCAATAGCCTAAGTGAATTAAAAAAAAAAAACTTTTCATAAGCACTTACGATGTACCAGACACTATGCTAAGTACTAGGAGTGCAAGTTCAAAGAACCAAAACAGTCCCTTCCTGCAAGAAGCTTGCAGGAAGTAATGATGGAAGACAGTACATAAAGGAGAGTTAGAAAAGGGAGGGGGGAGAAGAGACAGACAGAGAGAGACAGAGAGACAGAGACAGAGAGAAAAGCTTGTCTATTAATGGCTAGAGTCCCAGGGTCAGAATCTAGATTCCTGTGGAAAAGGATAATGATGATAGCCAGCGTGCACCAGGTAGCATGTTTTAAAAAGAGATTTAAAATGCCCAGGGTTTTGATCCCAGAAATAATATCTCTGGGTCAAGGTTTGAGGAGTTTAGTAACTTTTCTTGCATAAATAAAAATTATTTTACAGAATGATTGAATTCATTGTTGAAGCAGCAATGAATTAGCCAACCTATTTTCCCACAGTCTTAAAAATGAGTTTTCTCATCTTTTTACCATTTTTGCTAATAGGGGTGCAAAAGTATAGTCTCCAGGTTGTTTTAATTTGCATTTCTCTGAAGTTGTTTGTTCCAGTGTGTTTAAAGTCTTAAGTTTGGAAACTTGTTCACCTTGTATTATCTCATGACTACTAAAATAATTTAGGTTACTTTCCCCATGTATTTATCCAGTACCTGTATACTGAGGCACACTAATTGCTTTCTGTTGGTACATTCTGTTATTATATGTTACAATTCCAGGCCAAGGAACCTCCCTACAAAGTACACATGCACACCAAATATAATTAAGCAAAACCTAAGAGTGTAATTGGCAGTCCTCCCCAGTTCACTTGAGGAAATTGCAGGGTGTAATGGGGAGGTATAAGAGACAGTGAGGTGTTATGGAGGAGTAAGAAGGTAACCTGTTCATGTACTTTGATATTCTTTTAGGAGTGAAATTCTTCAGTCATTTCTTGATAGAAGTATAGAGTGTTAGTCATTGGCCAAAATCTTACCCAGTAGGAGATACCACACCCAATTAAAAAAAAAAAATCAGTCCCATAGAGTCCACCTGGAATGTCAAGAGAATTAGCCCTGGCAGGCAGAAGTTGAGTTGTAGGTAAGAGCAGGCCCAGGGAGCCCAGCTAAGAGATTTACTCAACAAGATCCGTGGGGAGCAGAATGAGGACAGAACAGAAAGACACTGAGACCCTGTAGTACCAGAAGTGTCAGTTGCTTTAGCAGCCTGTGTCCCTCTGTCCCTGTGAACTCTGGTGAATGCCCATACTTTCCACTGACACAATCTATATTTGGAAGGAGTACACCCTAGGTTTATGGAAAGAATGCTTTTTACTGTTGTTTATACTGTGCTGTTTCAGTAAATGCCATTGCTTTGAGCTAATTGTGTCAGCTAGTTAACTGTGAACACAGGAGTTGAGAGGGCTCTTGAGCTACAGTTTTCTGAGTACAGACCTATGAAAGACCTCAAACTTGGGGTAACTCAAAAGGAGTACTTACTGTACCAACATTGACTATTGTGTTTGACCCATTTTGTTGCCTCTCAATGCTGCCTTTCTTTGCATTGTAGTATTGTTGTGAATCAGTTGTCCTTATGGTTCTAATTTCTTTACTCTGAATCATTTCATGCAACTCTGACTATATTCCTTTAAATTCTTCATATTTTTCATTCACGTCACCTTATAAAAGTTGTGACAACTGTTGGTGTTACAAACCTAATACAAGAGAAATAGTCTAACAAGCTTCTAGGACTTTACAATTGGGAGAAATGTTGAATTTAATTCTATAAAATTCTATAAAAGCTCTGTTCCCCATGAAAAGCAGTTTATTGTTCTGAAATGACCATGGTTTTATGTTAATAGTTCAGAAATGGAAAACATAGAACACTTGTATTGATTTAAAAAGGGGCACATCAAATTTCTGTAGGGGACAAATGAATTTGTAGATACAAAGAAAGGGACAGTATTTTGGGGATTTTAATTAGCAAAGCAAGGGAAAATAGATGGGAATTAACTTTCTTGGTGCAAGAAATTGGATATTTTACTGTGAAGTCTTTTGCCAATAATAAGTAAACTAGGAACTAGGTCTTAGAATATTAACAAATAATGTTTAAAATATTTTGGGGTTTTTGTAAAGGTCTGTACTTTGAAGTCTATCAACCTAACTAGATTAATTGTACTCTCCTTTCAGAATTGGTTCATTTGTTTTCCTATTCCCTAGCTAAAGGAAAATGTCTATCTTCTGACAGTCAGTCCCTGAAATAATTAAATTTCTTCATTGAACTATGGGTACATTTTGTAGATATGGTCCTGTACGGTAGTGCATAGTCATTAAACTGAAGGGTATGAGGTATATTGTGCTTGAGTATTTAGAGAGAATACTAGTTTAAGTGCACATCTTTCTTCTAAATTAGAGCGATTGTAAAAGCAGTGGGCCAGGTTCCGATTCCCTAACTACTCTTTGATTGTAAGTCAGCATCCTTTATTCATTCAATAAGCATTTATTAAGAAAGGTGCATTACTTCTTTTTGACTACTTCTGTTATATTTCTCAATGGTAGATAATTATTTCATATGGAACTATAACATGTTTCCTAAAAGACCACATAGTGCATGTCACCAGTTTTTTGTGGACCATCTATAAGACACAGAGTATTGAATATGGTGAGAGATAAAAATGAAAGGGATGTAATCTGAGATCCGTTGGGGCTAATGGCTTGAATCTTGCTCAATTTCAGTTATGTTTGGAAATAGGATCATAGGATTTAGAATTGGAAGAGAATTTAGAGGTCATATAATACACTATTCCTCTAATTTTATAAATGAAGAAATGGAGGCCCAGAGAGGTCAAGTTACTTGCCCAAAGTTATCAGATAGGAACTAGCAGAGCCAAGACTTGAATCTAGATTTTCAGACTCCAAATCCTCTATTTCATAGCTGGAGGGTTGTGATTTGGTTTTCTGTAGTCTTAATTATTATAAAATATATCTTACCTATATAATTACTAGTTTTATTATTTTAAAGGAGAGGTTTTTGAGGGCATATAGTAGCTTCAGTTTTTCAGTTTTATTAAATTTTAAAATGTTTATTTTTCAGCTCCCATGGAAGTCATTGACTAGCATCATTGAATATTATTACATGTGGAAAACTACTGACAGATATGTACAACAGGTAATCTCATCATTTTGACGTTAATGAGGATGCTACAAAACAAAAAAAATTAATTTGATTTAATGAATTTTTTATCCTTTGGTATTTTTATAACTGTTCATAAGTTTCAGAAGTAATTTTAATTAAAATGTGTGTGTGTGTGTGTGTGTGTGTGTATGTGTGTTACTAAAGAAAGTGTCACTGAGAAGGGACACTACAGGAAAACATGATTGTTTTGTCTATCACTGGAATTTCATTTTGGGCAGAAGTTAATCCTCAAAGCTCCTAAACTTTCCTTTCAGGACAAAAACCAAACCAAACCAAAAAGACCCTTGAAAAATACTTGACACATCTTGGTTTTCTCTTATCTGAAAAATTATATTTGATATCAGGTCATAACAACGTGTCTTCTTTTGGTTGTCCTTTGTATTATCTTTGCCAAGCCTCATTTGTTGTAAAATAATCGTGACTCCAGAGGCCTGTGTTTTTAAGTTTTAATTTATGTATTTACTTTTACAAGCTGATCCTATGATGTAATTTCATTTCCCTTTCTTTCCTGCTCTTAGATTATTTTTTAATGTATTAGTAATTAGTCCTCGATTTGAGTTATATTGTCATTTTCTCATTCTCTCCCCTCTAGTATATTCCTCATGAGCCCAAATAAACTAATGTGATACTCAGTTTTCAACTTTTCAGTTTATACCTTGAGTTTGAGAAGGTTACATCTTTCTTCCTCACCTATCTCTATCCCCTCCTCCCTTTTCCCAAGTAAATGTTGGTCTCATACAAAGCTTTTTTTTTTGGTCTGTTTTTCTTCACCCTGAACTGTGGGAGCTTAGTTTCCACCTTATGTCTCTATAAGGAAAGAATTCTTTTTTAACTTTCAGAAAATCAACTAAGAAATAAAATAAGAGCCATAAATTTAAAAAAGTAGAGGTCACAATTATAAAAAGATTTTCCTTTTCTTTATTTTTCATGTCTTTTTTTGTGGTGCTTTTGTCATTCATATGGAAATGGGATAGAGTATACTTTATATCTTCATTTAAGTAATCTATTGTATTTTAGTAATATTCTGTTTATCATTCTCTATATTGAGTTTGTGTCTTAAAATTTACTGTGTGCATTTATTTTAACAAATTTTGTCTTTAAAAATAGGTGCAAAATTGCTGTTTCGATATAAAGTCAAGGTAGCTTTGGCTATTGGTGCTTGGTTTAAGTACCTCATAATTTTAAGGCTAAAAGGAAACAGTAATTCTTATGCATTATATGTAAAATGTTCTCTTTTTTTTAATTTAGAAACGCCTGAAAGCTGCTGAAGCTGAAAGCAAATTGAAACAGGTCTATATTCCAACTTAGTAAGTAATGAAACTTTTCTTATGAGTTTAAGAGCTGGTGTCAGTGCAAATTATGCCCTTTCTTTCTGTTCAACCTCAGTCAAATCACCGAACCTCTTTCTGCTGTAGTTTCTTCCTCAGTAAAGGGAGCCTGTTTTATGTTAGACTGCAAAAATGGGCTCATAGGACAGAAAGTCAGTTGGTGAGAGAAACCAAAGTAGACCAACATGAGAGGCAATGGGAGGTATGTAGTGGATTTTGCCTCAGTCATAAAGACAGGGAAAATGTCAAAAAACACAACTATGAAAGCATGTGTGTATGAATTGAGTGGATTTTATTAAGTTGCTGTTTCTGAAGTTTGTAAATTGTGGTGTGCTTTTGTTGTGGTGTAGGCTGTGCAGATTTTGCCTTAATCTTTTCATTTGCCAACCCTACTTAGAATGAATATTTTATGCATTTTGTGAAATATTCAGTATCTGTATTCTAAGCATATAAGTTGCTGTCTATCATTTTTCTCATCAACACAATGAAAATCTTCAAGATTCTAAGAGTATGAAGAGACTTTTAAGAACATCTAGTCCAACCTGTACCTGACAAAGAATCCCTTCTATGTTATTTCTAGCCTTTGTTTGAAGAATTCCAGTGAGGGGAACCCCTGGCGAGCTGTTCCCATTTCTTATAAATTTATGATTTTTAGGGAATTTCCCTTGTATTCATGTTAAATCTGCTTCCATGCACTTTCCACTCATTATTCCAAGTTCAGCTCTTTGAGGCCAAGAAGATGAAATCTTATTCTTTTTTGTGTGTGACAGCTCTTCTGATACTCAAAGTGCTATCTTCTTCCCCCTAAGACTCCTCCAGGCTATACGTGCACAGAACCTTTCCATGTCATGTTTTTTAATCCGTTCACCATCATTAATCATCCTGTTTTGGAATCATTTCAACTTGTCTATGTACTTTCTAAAAGGTAGTTTCCAGAATTGAATTCCAGTTGTGATGGCAGAGTATAATGGCATCATTATTTCCCTCATTCTGGACACTGCACCTCATCTAATGCAGTCTGAGTTTCTTAATGCATCCTCAGAGAACATTAACTTTTTTTTGGCAGCTGTATAACCTTCTATATTCATCAGATTGCATTCCATTTAAATCTATATCTGGCCACACCTCTGTCCTTTACTTGTGAAGCTATTTTTGAACTCAAGTATAACAGTTTATATTTGTCTCCATTAATTTCATCTCATTTGATTCAATGCATCCTTTAGCCTGTCAATTTTTAAAACGTTGTTATTTCCCAGTACTGCCTCCACCAAAAAACAATAACAACAACAACAACAACCCACCACCTTTCTACAGTTAAGCAAAACAAAACTACAACACATTGATCATGTCTGGTAGCATATACCTCATTTCACACTTCTAGTCCATTACCTCACTAGAGAGGGGAAATATGCTTCTTCAGTCCTGGAGATGATTCATCATTGCTTCAATTTTAATTCTGATATCTTTTTTATTATTTTTTTCCTTTATGTTATTGAAGTCATTGTGTATAAAATTTATCTTGGTTCTGCTTGTTTTTCAGTCAGCATCAATGGGTGTAAATTTCCCTATTTTTCTCTGAATTTTTAATGTTCATTGTTTCCTGCAGTGTAAAAATATTTGACTGTTTTCACATGCCACAATTTCTTCAGCTGTTCCCTAGTCAGTGCAGTCCACCTTTATCTAGTTTCTTGCTGCTATAAAAATAATTGCTATAAGTCTTTTGGTAGGTTTGAGATCTTTCCCCCTGTCTTTTGATCTCTTTGGGGTAAATGTCCAACAGTGTATCACAAAGTGTGAATAGCATAGTCTCTTTTCTATCATGACTACCAGTTGTTTTCTAAAATAGTTGGATTAATTCACAGTTTGGCACCAATAGGGTATTACTCTGCTTGTTTTCCCACAGTCCTACCAGTATTGATTATTTCTGTCTTTCATCACCTTTTTCAAGCAGCCAAATCATTGGACATGAGGTAAAAATCTCACAATTGAATTGCCAAACAGTTGTCTCTCTGGTCCTCCACTCCCTCTTGACTGAAAGTACTCCTCCCATCCTTGAACTATGACCCAGAAGTGGGTATAGGCAGTGAAGCTGCCAAACATTGTCTGGTCCTGTGTCCAGTGTTAGCATAGCGGTCCCCTGTAGTCTCTTTTTGACCAGTTGCTGGGTCTTTTTACCATCTCTGCCTTGGGAGTTCCTGAAGCTATTTCTGCTTCTGTTTTCATCACCTAATCCCACCTCTGGTGTTTAATCCATGTGCGCTCCAGGCCAGCTTCCACTCCAGTGTCGCAGATCTCTCTTTCTGACGTCCTGTGTTGTCTTGAGCTGGAAGTATGTCTTGCTCTAATCTTTTGTTGGCTCTGCCACTCCAGAACTTGATTTGAAGCATTATTTTAAAGTTGTTTGGAGAGGAATATTGGGAGTGCTTAGCTGAGCACTCTCTCTACTCCTACCATCTTGCTTTGCCCCCAGAAGTCTTGATTGATTGCTTTTAAGGCCAATGTCCCCTTCAAAATACTAGGCCAGTGGTTTCTACCTATTTTCTTTCTAAATAGTTTAAAATCCTATCTCCTTATCCAAGCATGTCAAACGACCGCAAACAATTATGATGCATTGGTCATTTACCCTTAAGGTTCCTATTTCTACTTTACCAACCATTCCTTTCTTATTGGTTAAAATCCCATCAAGAATAACAATTCCATTTATTAGAATTCATCAATTTCTTCAAGATTCAGAAGAGGTACTCTTAAACCTTTCCTGATCTCCCCAACTGTTAATGCCTTTAACTATACTGCAATTAGACACACACATACACACACACACACACACACACACACACACACACACACACACAGAGTTGATTTATTGTTTCCTCTAACTTTTGAAGAATTAAGTTGTCATTAAGTCAGGTCACAAATGTATCTATCTACTGCAGCGAGTAGTTAACAAGCATTTATTAAATGCCTGTTATGTGCCAGGCACTATGTTAGGAGCTGTATAAACCCACAACCATATCACTTTTCTTTCTCCCTCCATCAGTTCTTAATCAGTTGTTCTCTACCATTTTCCCTCCTCAGCCACATGGATTTCTTATTAATATACAATTCTATTAATCCTTCCCAGCTCTTTATCATGTTTCCAATTGGTTATATATCCCACCTCATCACACTGATACCTGGGAAGTCAAATTTACTTCTTCATGTAACATTTTCTAGTTCACCCCATTTATTACTTTGTATATGGACATCTAAGTCAGAGTTTTATTGCTGACTGGCATATCATTGTGGTACCTAGTACTCTCTCTCTGGTAACTAGTTTGTCAGACCCACGTGGTTAGCTTTCTTCCTTCCCCTCTTGTTTAATTTTAAAGCCTTCTGTTAATCCTGATTAATTCACAAGTTCCTAGGCAATTATGTTTTTACTGACCTTTATTATGTGGCTGTAGCCAAGAGTGTGACATAATTATATTTTGAGCTGTCATCTAGAAATCCAAATTCTGCTGTCAGATGCTATATTCTTAGTCAGCTGTTCTTTTCCAAAATCGTCTTTTATTTTCTGAGTGCCCTATCTTCATTTGGCAAGGGTAATGAAAACAAAATCTTCAGGGTCTTCAGTTTTCTGTTCAGTGCTTGGCAGTGCTTTCTAGGTTCCTTTTGGCAATATCATTTATCCCAATATAGATCACTAGAAGTGGGCAGTGATAATCAGGTTTGTTAATTCTCAAAAATCTTGCTGTTTGTTCCAGATATCCTTGAGAATATAATGCAGTGTCTGTCATGTTTGTCAGATAAGTAACTAGCCACTTCAGTACTCTCCTTTTTAAAATCACTCTTGCTACTAGGGACAGTTATTGGATTGTCTATACCTGCTGCCATATGTGGAGTTGTATCCTTTCTTGGAGCTCAAGAAGCTGCTTCAAGTGAGATCATAATAAATACTTTGCAATGTTAAAGTATTATGTAAATTTCACTGTTATTTATTGCAGTGACAATGAAGTTCTGTGCCCTACAAAATGAGCTTCTAGTACCTATTGATAAAGGATCATGCATTTAGTATTCCTTTTCTTTCCTTCTCTTTATCACATTTGTCCATCTTTCCACCTCCTGATACTAGGGAGAATTCCCCTTTGACCTGTTACATCTTTTTTTTCTTTGATTCCTTCTTGAAACTCCACTTCCTTTCTTTTAAGGAACTTCTGGGTAACCTGGAGAAGAGAATGTGTCTACTTTCTTCCTCTAGGAAAGAGACCATTCTGTTTTTTGTGCATTCATAAGTGTTACATGATAGAGGAAGAAGCACAGACATAGCATGCACTCTGCAGATGATTACAAAATCATCCTCATTTGGGGCAGCTACATGACGCAGTGTATAGAGCTCTCACCTTGGAGTCAGGAGGACCTGAGCTCAAATCTGGCCTCAGACACTTGACTCTAGGTGTGTGACCCTGGGCAAATCATTTAACCCCATTGCCTCACCAAAAAGGCAAAAAAGAAAAAAAAACCCAACAGAAAAATCTTCATTCTCCGTAATTGCCCGAAGGAAAATCCACAGCCTACTGTCTTCATTTTCATTGCTCCCTTGGCTAACTGATGTTGCAAAGTGCCTATTTCTCAGACTTAGGAGAAAAATATAATAAAATCCATCCATCTTGTTTCAGCTTATGGTCAAACACCTAATACTTGCTTTCATGTTTCTGCACATCAGGCTGTGTCCTTTCTTAGGGACTGAACCTTAATTTAGTTAATAAATAGAAGCAGATAAGACAGAAATGCCTGGCACATAATAGGTACTTAATAAATGCTTGTTGATTATTAGTTAATTATTGTCACAAGAAAAAAAAGTCTAATGAATTCTTTCTACTTCATTTCACTCTGGTGACTGTCTCCAGACCTTCCCTTTATATTTATATATCTCTCTTATATAGTTGTCATCTGATGAAAATAGTTGATTTTTTTCCTTACTTTGCAATTAAGATTTGTTACCATCTCAAAGTATTCTGTATTTTAAAATATTGTGGGTCTTTGTTGGTTTGTTCATTCAATTAATACATTCAATATGTATTTGAATTCTATTCAGGCACTTAGGGAGAAACAAAAGAAGTGTATGACAGTCTCACATAGAGATTCTTGTTTTGTGAGCTGAGTGCTATGTTTGTTGTCATTTTGTAGTGTACTTGAGCTCTTTGGTAATTGAATTTAGATATATTATTTAATACATGCTTTTACGAACAGGTGGCCTCATAAAGAATGAATTATGATCTTTCACAGTAACCTTTTCTTCAAGACTAATAACACTAGCTTCATTCTTCTGTGTACAGGTTTACAGGCCAAATATTATCATTCAAAGATGTAATGTGATATTTGTCCCACAAATCAACTTTTGTTTATATTTTAAAATATATCTTGTGATTAAAATGTGTCTGTGATTCATGAATCTTAGAATTTCACACATTTCTTATTAATCAGACTTTATGTAAACCTTATGATTATCTAGGATGTTTGAGGAAATAATTAAGGTGGTTCTTCATACTTTTCACAAATAACAGTTTTGTCTCCAGCCAAAGAAAAGTACGTATAATTTGGTTTCTACATAAATTTTTTGAGTCTTTATCTCTTGCTTTGCAATGATCCTGAAGTTACAACTTTAAGGGAAGATTTTTGGGGATCCATGGCAGATTATTGTTCATTCTCTTGCATGTTCTTTGAGGTTACTTGAACATTTATATACTTTTATACATTTGTATAAATAGGTTTCTATGCTGATCAGATTAACATGTGATTATAAAGTTATGCTAAGATGTAGAAACCATAACATGAAAGATATTTCTTCTCAATATTATTTTGCCTTTTCAAAGCTACATGATATCTCTTGTAAAATAAGCTGTATTTGCTTTTAGGATTTGTGGAGGAAAAAAAGGTTATTTATATCTATGGTGACAGTTATTCTTTATGTCCTTGAACTTCAAATTGAATATAGATCTTTGACAAGAAATGTAAACAACTCTTCATTCTTCAACATTGTTTTTAGTCTCAAATCATTATTACCAATATTAAAGTCCAAGTAGCATTACATATTAAGTTACGAAACAGACTATGTGCTTTTCCGTAGTAATTCTTAACTGAAATATCAACAGTATGTTTAATTTGTATTAACTTTTCTTCAACCTATACCATTTTTCCATTTTCTAAGAAAATATCTGACAGTAAATCAGTCAATATAACCTCAAGGGGTAACCCATTTCCTACCATATATAATATTTTTAAAATCAGAAATGTAATTACTACATGTCAGCTCTTTCAACCTGAACTGCTAAATCACCAGTTTTTACTTCGTATGTTTTCAGCTAAAAAATACAAAACTATAAAAACAGTCCAAATAACCTGTTTGAATTCATTTTTATCTTAAATTTACCTTTAAAACTTCTTTTTTTCTCGTCAGAACACCTCTTGACACTAATTAGTGGCAGGCACATTTAGTTTTAATTTATAAAGGAAGAAACTCAAAGGAGATAGAAGTGAAATGATTTATTTAGAGGTCACACAGAGAATCAATAATAGAACCAAGAGCAGTTCTTTCAACCAGTGCAGACTTCTTCTTTACATTTACTTTACATGTGAGATTTTGACCTTCTCACCAAGAAATCGAATTTATGGGTTGGGCATTCAGGAGGAATAGTGGGAAGGCAAAGAGGGCTTCCACAAAAGCAAGGAGGAAGGAGCTTAGGATTTTTGCTGTTTCTTTTGAATTCCAAGGAAATTACACTGTTTTTGGAATCCAAATCCTATTCTACAGGGTTCATCAGGAAGAGAAAAGGTTGAGGAGCTTTTATTAATGTAACTTGGCAACGTGTGTCAGGATATCAGTGCCAATATCTTCCCAGTTGAGTTTTTTTCTCATCATTTGAGGCTTTTGGTGGTAGTTCTTTCCAGTTCAGCTCTTTGTTTACATCAGATTCATTTTCTGCTTATTATGTCATATTGTGTGTTTTACTTGATAATTTTTTTACATGTAAAAATGTACTTTACATGTAAAAAAGTAGTAAATCAACTATAGACACTTCTTGCTTTATGTAAGTGGATGTTCCTCAGACCTTTGCATAAAATGATTTTTATGTAATGTGAATTTGCCTGTGGAGTAGGGTAAGAAGGAGGCAGGAAGGGAGCCATGTGCCTGTGGAGGGAGGGGGCCAGCAATGTTTCAAAGACATGTCAGGGCTGGGGACAGAGGAAATAAGAGCAGGAGGAGGAACATGCAGGGGTCAGAATTGAGAGGGGAAAAAAATGCAGTGGCAGACATATTGGGGTTGGACACGTATACAAACAGGAGAGAACAGCTAACATGTGGGGACCAGAGAGAGACACACACATGGTACCCAAGCGTGGGCAAACAGACAGGTGGGAAATGGACACCTGGGAAGGTAGATGGAGTGGGGAAAAGGTCTCTTGTCATGGTAGCACCAGAGGTCTCAAGTCAAGCCTGCGATCTGGCTTTGGCTGGTGGCAGTGGTGGTGGTGGTCTCTCCACACATCCATTCTTCTGTTTTCACATGAAGGTATTTTTTAAGGTTTTTTTAATTTTGTTTGTTTTTGGTGGAGGTGGAGTGGGAAGCTACAGAGTGCTGAGCTAAGGGGCAGAAGCAGAGAAAGCACAATACTGTATAGTAAAGTTAGCAGAGAAAGCACAATACTGTATAGTAAAGTTAACATAGGTTTTTTTTAGAATGTGGATTTCTTTCAGAATTCTTTAGGTAAAGTCAAATTTGCATAGGGGGAATTTACATAAAGTGGAAACCGTCTGTATAGATAACTAAAACTACTGGAAAAAAGCATTACAGAAATAATTTAAGTCATCACTTTAAATTTTATTTGAAGCAACAAACCAAATCCCAACCAAATATCTGGCAGCAATGGCAAACCCAACACTGTGAATGGAGCTGTGGGAACCCCATATCAACCCCAGAGTGCACTGATAGGACGGGCCTGTGAGAGCTGCTACAGTGAGTACTGAAGGGACTTGTTGGTTAAGTTTAGGATTAGTAGGAAACTGTAGGATACTCCATACTTTACTAGTAACATTGAGTGCAGTGTCATAAGGTATGAATGAGACTGTGCTGCTCTGGTGGCACTTAACATCTGCTCACAGGAGACTTAGGTCTTTCAGGCTCCATTACATAAACGCAATTGCATAAAGAGCACATTTCTGCTTGCACTTTGATCTTAGAAAATTTGGCCAGCTTAATATCAGTTAGACAATGAGATTCTTGTTATGTATTTTCATTAACTGCTATAGATAATGTGTGAGCTATAATTTATTTTGGGGGAGGGTGTCACAATGCTCTTATCGTCCAATCTTATCAGGAGCTTTACAGAAGATGGCAGAGGTAAATGGTATTTTTTCTGGGTGTGTGAAATGGTGTTGGTGGGATTTGTTTCAAGATGATAGATTTTTGGAAACTTTTGATCTGTGAATCACAGCCAAATATCTAGAGAGATAAGAAATAGAACAATATTGCTTTGCTCTCACTGTTTTGAAATGACTAGTTATTATATTCTTTGGTCCTTAAGACTCTGAAAGGTGTTTGAAATTCGCTCCCTTTTACTTAGGTTCAAGCTCAGCTTTGATCCAAGGAGAAATTTTATGAACCATAAATAGTTGAATTAGTAAAGTGAATACAACGATGTACTTGACAGAAAAATAATTTCCATTTCCAACATTGTTAGGTAGCCGGCAGAAATAAGCCATAAAAAGGTGGCTTCCCCCTGTTTTAGGTTTTCACAAAATGCCTTCATAATTTTGAGTTATAATTTCCAAAGACATAAATCACATCCATATTTAAATTAAGTATGAAAATGACTGTGATTATTGTCTTATCTATGCAATTCTTCCTTCTATTCATGTAGATAATAGATAACATAATTGACTATCTTTTTAAAGAATTAATTTCATCATCTAATCAGCATGATTGCCTAATGTTTTCTATGATTAAATTTTCTATAATTTATCTTTTTTAAAAAGCACACCAGTATAGAAGATAACTTATTTAATAACCTCTAAAGTGTACAGGCACTGAACATATTATAAAAATGTTTTTTGTATCCTTTTATTAAAGTGTGGGCATGTGTATATAGAATTTATTCTTCTTAATGGGTTATAAAATGAGAGGAAGAAAAAAATGGAAATAAAATCACAAACAAATAATGTCTTTGAAATTCTGCCATAGGGCCTTTTTATTATGTTGGCTATAAATTCAGCTACATTATTTTCTTATTCTTAGCCACCCAGTCTCACCAGTGGTATTCTTGGGGGCCACCTAACATGCAGTGTAGATTATGTGCAACCTGTTGGCTGTATTGGAAAAAATATGGTGGCCTGAAAATGCCAACACAGACAGAAGAAGAGAAGCTATCACCCAACCCAACTACAGAGGTATGTGTACAATAGGCCATATTGGTTTTTTAGTGTTTGATGCTTAGTATATGCTTCTCAAAGTCTTGGTTTCTCTTGGTAAACGAAGAATTAAGTTTAAAAATTATTCAGTAAATATCTATTAAGCACCTTGATTGTGAAACAGATTATGTTAGTGTCAAGGGTAGTTAATAAAATAAAATAAGACGTAGTCCAGTCTAGTAGGGAGATTAGGCATACACAGAGGTTACTATAAAACATAATTAATGTCTTAGAGAAATACGAAATAGAATATTATGTGATACGTCACAGGGAAATATTACCAGTAGGCTGATGAAGAGGTTTCATGGAGAAAGTGGCATTTGAGTTAGATTTGAAAGGGTGGGTGGCTTACTTGTTGTAGGCTGGCTCAAGTTTATAGAAGACAAGCAACAAAGTTTTAGTTTTGCTTTCAGGGCAGTGGGTAGATTTTGGAGCAGATGAGCTACGTGATCATATCTGCACTTAAAGAAAATTGCAGTGAACAAAAAGAAATAGATTTGGGAGTGGGAAGTGGAGGCCAGGTCTGTCTAGAGGCTCTTGCAGTAGGTGCTCCTGAGAATGTGTACTAGGGGTATATGCAGGGGAAAAAGGAAAGAATGGAGAGATGCAACAAGTATTGCAGAGTTAGAGTGGGTAAGTTAACCTGTTAACTGATGAGATTTGCAAGTATAGTAGAGGGAAGAGGAAAAAGTAATGCCATTCTTTTGAAAATGGGAAATTGGATGACTGATAGTGCCACCAAAAGAAATAATGAAGTCACGAAAAGGAACATGTCTGCCTTAAGGGCTAGGATGAGGTTAAGGAGACGGGGGAGTGGTGAGAGAGATTAATGTGTTGTATCTAAAGCTGAAGATAAAGCAAATATCTCTGCTTATCAAGGATAAATTGTGAGGTCAAGGAAGAAGAGTACTTATGAAAGACCCATGGGATTTGATGTTTAGAAGTTCATTCAGAAAGAGGTTTTCATACAGTAGTGAGAGTGGAGAGCAATGTGCAATGTCTTGATCATAATGGGTGGTGGAGTATAATGCATCATTAACTGCATTAATAATTTATTGATTACCAAATTAAACATTATTGAAAATATTGGGGCCAGTCTTTGCATAAATATTCCTTCTGCCCACCAAAGGCACTGAAATTCTGGAACAGTTCCCAGCCTATAGAACAATGAGTGAAGTGTAAGCCCCACTGTTTTATCTATCGTATTTGCTCAATGAAGATTTGTTTTGTCACAGTGAATATTTCCATTATGTATATAATGCTAATTATTTTTCACTAAAGCTATTTAAGGTGTCCCCATGGCACAGAGGGAAGGAACCCTGGGTTCTGTTGTGCCGTGCCAGCACAGTACAAGTTCTGTCCAGTCCCACCAACCTTGAAAGACTGTACATACTGGCCTCTCAAGATTATATATCAGTCAGGCATCTGGAGATAAGCCTGGCTCAGTTCCCTGAGGCTCATCACTAGATGGTTGACTGCTAGGTGATTTTTTTTTCTCAGTTATAAGAATTCATAAAGACCATCTACTTAAGGAATAGCAGAATTACAGCCTTGTTGATAAGGAGCATATCCATACTCATAAAACTATGGATCCTTGAAGTATAGCAAGATGTAGATGAAACAGAGTCCAAGTGCTTTTCTTCACAGAACGTGATTTATTTGGAAAACACACTCTAATGAACAAGTTATTAACTGCTGTTGAAAAATTAGATGTATGAAAGAGGCAAGATGAATGTACAGTAATACCTTTTTTAATCTGTCTTATTTTACTCTTGCCAGATCTTCCTTTTCGCACTGTCCTGGCTCTTTGGGAAAAAAAGTACAAAATGACAGGACTTTAATCTTGTGGCACGAGTAATTGAAATGTCAGTGTGGCTAAATTCTCTTAGATTGAAAATGTCAAACTATATTAGACCCTATCTCTACTAGTAAAGAAAATATTTTCTTCTGTTTCACCTCAGGGAATCCCTCAATACTAAAGTTGATAACATGAGATTAGCCTTCTCGGTGAGTCCTCAATTTATTTTGCTTTTTCCACTTCAGCTTTTGGCATCTTGAGAACTATAAACACATAAGATCCATGTGGTATTCTTGGCCCACACCTGGTTTTAGGGATAGGCTGTTGAGTCATCTCCATATCTTAATGAATACATCAAGGTGCATTTATGTTTATACATGATGAAAACAATGTTGAGTTTTATTACTTTAGTTGAGTTTGGTTTCTGGTTTTTGCAGGATCCCCGTGTTAGAGGTCACATGTCACGTCAGGCCACACAGGGAATGCCAGTCCGTAACACTGGAAGTCCAAAGTCATCTGTGAAGACCCGCCAAGCTTTCTTCCTTCATACTACATGTTTGACCAAACTTGCTCGCCAGGTCTGCAAAAATACCCTCCGGCTGCGGCAGGCAGCAAGACGACCCTTTGTCCCTATTAATTGTGCTGCCATTAGGGCAGAATGTAAGATGCTTTTAAATTCTTAACTATATGTGCTGTGCTTCTGATCATTTTTCTGTTTTTTTTTTTTGTTTTCTTTTTGGTTTTTTGTTTGTTTGCAATAAACATCATTTCTTGTCTACAGCCTTTATTTGGTTTAATTTTTTAAGACTTTTTTTGTCTATTCTAGTTTTAACTTACCAATTTAATGAAATACACTGTTGAACCTCTCTACAATGCTGTTTTCCGTAGAGTTCAGTATAAACTTAGTCTGTTTTGTATCCTTTCCAAGAGGTCCTATTAAGTGGCGCTTTTACCCTGTAAAGTGAGTGCCACAGGATTGACTCTGAGCCTTTGTGAGGCTTTATTATATGCTGAAGTATTTCAGTACAATAGGAAATCTTATTTGAATGAGTTAATGTTACAGTTTTCATTAAGTCCTATTATTTAACATCTAGCATTTTTTGTGTCTGTACCACCTCTCATTTTCCTGTTAGTATTCACAACTATTACCCAACATTATCTAATAGTTTCATGAGTCTCACTGTATTTCTGTGAGACTGTAAATTGTAAATGCATTTGCAGAACTTTGAATTATTTTGGATGAGGATTCTGAGAAGAATCTCTTAAACTAAACTCTGGGTGTGGTATTAGACTTTTATTTTCCTGTGTTCAACATTTTTTTCATTGCATATACATATGTCATTGAATCATATGTTTTCATGTATTCTTTCCATGATTGTGTGACTCTCATTTTCTACACATAGCACTTGACACTGGGGCTATGAATTTACATCGTCATTGAGTAGGTTATCCCATCACTACCCCAGCAACCAGACACTTGCCCAGCTTTGGTAGGGCAGCCTGAATTCATGCTGGGGTTGAAAAAAAAGAAAGAATATCTGAAATGCATTTTCTTTCCTGGATATAAACTTTTCACAAAATCGTGCAGTGTTAAGACTTAGAGGCAAAAATTCTCTGAGACAGTAAAAAGTGCCCCTTAAAGGGAATATAACGAGTAGAGATCGCTTAAGAGGTCCTAAGATTTGGGGAAGAGGGAGCAAAATTAAAGACAGCATTAAATTAACATTGATAATGTCACCTATATTGTTCCTTATTGACACTTCCCCTGGCTTATAGGTTTAAATGTAAGCCTCAGAGCTTGCTTCTTTCTTTAAGAAATGGGGAAAACAAATCTTTGGGTTTAATTCTTCTATTCCTCTGCCTTGAAAGATATAATTTTATCTGTAATTTAAACTTTGGAAAAATGAAAAGTGAAGCTGTTGAGAGGAAATAAATGAGATTCTTCTTTTTTTTTTTCTTTTTGATATTGGGCACCCAGTTTTATCTTTGTTTCTGTAACTGGGGGAGAAACAACACAAGTTAAAATTAACCATGGAGGAGACTTGAGTTTCCTGTGATTCTCCTGCAAATTTATCTGTTAATTTGTGCACTTATTTTTGTTGTTGCTTCAGTGAATTGTCATCTCATTTTTTTCTCAATTAAACTGCCTTATTGCCAAAGGAGTCAAAGTTTAATTTACCTGGATTTGATTTTAAAAATTAATTAGATTATAATTTAAAATAAAACCTCAGCCATTTGTTTTGGTGAGATTTAAAAAAAAACATGTTACTTAAAATTTTCTAATCATTTATATTTATCAACTCCAGGGAGAATACTACATTTAGAATGTGATGCCTACAAAAAATTCACTCATGCTCTGAGACTTTATATTTTAATTTTTCTGCAGACAACTGTTTGATGAACTGTTTTTTTTTCCTATCCCCTAATTAATTATATTTTATGTCTTTATAGCCTTTCTGGGTGAACCCTATTACAACATTTATAACAGTTCCTTTGGTTGCTTAATTCCTTTATGGGGGCATTCAGATAGAATGCTGACAAACAAGGCATATTTATTATTTGATCAGGTAGGAGTTAGTAATTATGAAAGAAATTATAATTGAAGCATTTTGATTAATGCAGCCAATTTAAATTTGAGTGTACTCTGAGGAGAACAAAGCTCTATTTTTATGTTGGGAAATTATTTGTTGTTAAATAGTAACCACCATCTTGATACATGTCATCCTGATTTTTGTTTTCCATATAAAAATTGAAGTTATATATACTCTACTGTAATTTGACCCTTGCCATTACCTTGGCACCACCATTATTGCTTAATAGTGAGGTAAGGATAGTGGTACACTGGCACTGGGTGGGGTGAGCTGTGGCATATGTATTCACTCTTAATGGTAGTAAAAAAAAATTTAAGAGGTTGAAATACCAAAACTGAAGAATTTTGTTGCATGCATTTCAGAATATTTGCAGGTAGGACATGACACATTTATCAAGTTTTAGATCCTTTTAAAAAAAGTAATGGGGGGTGGGCATATATTAGTGTTGACCAGTCACATTTTGCTTCTTGTGTGGTTTCATAAATATCACTTTTTAAACATTAAATAACAAGACAGGATCACCAGTGGACAGATCACCATGACCCTTAAGGGGACTGCTAGATCATCCCCACTGCTGAGGTGAAGCACCAGATTATCCTTGATGAAATCCACCAATGACATAACAGATTGAGATATCAATTAAATTCTGTCTTTTTTCCTCACCATTGAGTCACGAAAGCATGTTGCATTTGGAGTTGTGAGGTTAAATCAGATGACTGATAGCTTTTCATAGACATGGCTAACTGCTACAATACCCCCTTCCCCCTAGGAAGTTTGAAGGCGGTGATTCAGTTTGCTTACTTAGCCACTGTGGGCCCAGTCATCTGTTTGAATTTCCATTTCTTCAGCTGTGTAAAGTTAGGATAATTATTGGGAAGGTCATTTTCAGGATCAGAAGTGCTGTATAAATGCTAGGATTTTTATTACTGTTGTTGTTACTTGATTATAGTAGTTGAGGATAATAGGCCTTCACATGAAAGAGAGGTCTATGAGTTTGGAATCGAGTGCTAGCAATATGTTCCATGTTGAGAGCTATGTTAATGAGATGCTACAACATAGTTTAATTCTGTCAAGGAGCTAATCTAACCTCAGAGGGAAAAATAAATCCTAAAACTCTTTTTTTACATGACAGATTTTTTCTTGACCATTCTGTAAATGTCTTGAATAGAGTTCCATGAAATGTTAAACCCAGAAAACTGGAGATGAAATTTTGCTTAAGTGTAATAGAATTAGTAACTCACACTTTTGTAGCACATAATGGTTGACAAAGTACTTTCCTCGACAAGAAACCTACAAAGTGTAATGCAGATTTTTATTACCCTCATTTTACAAGTGAGGAAGCTGAGGTTTCATTGGGTAAAAATGACTTGCACATCACATAGCAAGCTTAGGAATTGTTGGGGTTGAGATTTGACCATTGCCTCAAAAACCACTGGACTTGTCAAGATTTGCAAACGTTTTTCCTTCACATGCTCTTGGGTTTTTTCGTGTAAACTCAAACCCACTGTGTTCTATTTCAAACAATCTACTTTGCAAGGATTTAAAAAACCGCTACACTTAAGCATATAGACCAATAGCCAAGTAGTGTTAATTTTAACAGTGATTTGTCAAATTTGACATTAAAAGACCTGTAAGTGCAAGTGAGGTCCATACCAAGTAAATAAGCCTGATGTTCTGCTAAGTGAATAGAAAACAAAAGAGACAAATTTCCCCCTTAGGAACATGTGGACTTAGGAATCCATGGAGTTGTTAGTGGGTATTTTCCAGATGTAATAATAGACAAGTGTCTTGTTTGATCTTTAGAGGGAGCCCCATTCTATGGTGTTGCTGATGAGTTATTCATTTGGCTTAATCAATATATTTATATATATTATAGGGTCCAAACATTATTAGTGACCTCAGAATTAGAGTGAAATTTTTGATGGTAAGTGTTACTCGATTTTTAATCCAGTCTTTCCGGGGAGGAAAACAATATGATGGAAAGAAGAGATCCAAAAGACCTGAGTTTCAGAACTTGTTGCATTACCAAGAACTGTGTGACCATGGGCAAGTCACTTTTCTTTTCTTACTCATCTGTAAAATGAGGGACATGTGCCTTAGATTATCTCCTTTTTAGCTTTAACATTCTGTGATACTTAACAGTGTAACAGTCTCATGGATAGGTACAGGGTATTCTTTGGTTGCCTGGTTGACAATTGGCTTTGTGTTGGTATTAAACGTCAGCATATTTGAAGTAATTGTAGACATGGTTATATCTATGAAGCAAGATGAATTTTTTTAACTTCCAGAATGGGGCTTTATTTAGAATATAAGAGATTTTCCCATTTAATTTTCTTCCTCCTGCATTTAAATTTGAATCTGTAGTAATTTTCTTTTCCCAGACTATTCAAAAAGTTCACATCAAAGATAACTAGTTTTCATAGCATGCATCATCTAATCAGAAATATTTGTTTTCCCTTAATTTCCACTACATATATAAACCAGTTCATTGAAGGTATTTTGAGACCCTTCTCTAGCTGTAAAATTCTTGACTAGCTTTAAAATTCTTTTTCTCTCAAACAGTGACCCTAGGACTTAGCACCTTGAATCTCAATTTCTTCCCCTGTAAAATAATAAAAGCTTCTGCTTATATAGCACTCGACAAATTACAGGGTACTTTGTTCTCCTGTAGGAAGTATAAGTGTTATTATCTCTGTCTTACAGAAGAGGGAGCTCAGAAAAGTGAGTGGCTTGGCCAAAAGTCATCTCGCTAGTTAGTGTTAGAGGTGACACTTGAGCTCAGATGTCAAAGTGCAGTGAAGATCACCTCAAAGGACTTTAATGTCACAAACAAAGGAAATCTATAATATAAAATATTATTTGCTAGAATCATCAATAGAATTGCTAATTAGATAAGAAATTATGAGCAAATTATCATAAGCAAAAATGAAATACCTTTGGGTGATTTGGTCATACCCACACAGTGAGTTTGTAGGTTTTCTTTCCTGTCTTTTCCCCCAGAGCTTGCCCTATATGAGCATTAATGGCCTTTTGCCCTTTAGCTTTGAGCAGCAAGGCTAACTTTAAAAAGTAATAATAAAAAAACCTGATGCACTTCTGCCAAAGAGAGATTTGACAAATGAAGTTTTTATATATAGGCTTAAACATATATCATGTGCCCTTAGACCCATACTGGGACAGAATGATGATCTCCAGAATATCATCTAGGGAAAGATTACTTTTGTGTGACAGTCCAAGTCTGACACTGAGAATTTGGCACCTGGTGTTTTTCTTCAGGATAGGAAGCGAAATAAATTTAACTGATGATATGAACACAGTTGACAATCTTTATCTAAAAATAATTGGAATGCTGTGGTGCTTATTTTCATAAATTATTTTCCTTTATTACACATTTCAAATGTAACTAAGTTTTAAGGGCCTAGTATGGTTAAGAAGGAGATATTTTAATATTAACTTCTCAGTAATTTGACAGCACTAGGGTGTTTTTTTTCCTTTAAGAACCTCCTTTTAGGATTTGTGGAACACTAAGCAGTTACTTAAAAGTGTGCCAAAATGCATTCATTGTATTTCTGCCCAAATCCTCTTTAATAAGCATCTATTTTATGAAAATTTCCCAAATAGAAATAAAGGATTAGATACATGGAAAACAAAAAGGATTGGGTCATAAAGCATTCCGAGTGGTTAATAATCAAGGAATGATTTCTATTATGCACGCAAACAGTTCATGAGCTATGGCATGGTCTCTGCTACTATAAGTGCCAGAATGATAGTGTTAGACTGGCAGATAGACCCAGGTTCAGATCCTGCCTCTAGCATAAACCATATGATCCTGGGCAAGTCATTTATCCTCTCTCAGCCTCAGTTCTCTCATTTGTAAGATACGAATAATATCTGTAGCACTTTACTCACAGAGTTGTGAGGGTCAAATGAGATAATGTATGTTAGGCACTTTGAAAGTGTTTTAAAAATATTACATAAGTCAGTTACATCTGAAGTTATTTAATAAATACCTTGTTTATTTCAAATATGTGTTTGAACAGTGTGCAGGGAGAATAAGGGATGAGAAACTCCCAAAAAATGTTAAATTTCAATCTGAAATAACTAAACTGGAATATTGGAACATATCTTGGAATGCAGAAGACATATCCTGCTCTCATTTCTTGGCTCCCAAGGCTGCTGTGTACTGAAAGACAAAGGGAAACTTCCTGTAAGAGAACTAGGAAGCCAATATAGATATTTTTCAGATAACAGGGGAAGTAGCATAAATACTGAATTGAATTTGTTAAAGTTACTCTGGTGGGAAAAAAAAATCAAGGTCAATGCTATTTGAGAAAATTCAAAACAAAACCAAAAGCAAAACCATAATCTTTTTCCAATGTACATTTTATTACAACTCCTGAATATTCTAGCCCCATAACTTTTCTGGTATGAAAGTCTTCCATATACCATACTACTATTTTCTATCCACATGACAGCTAATTAAAGCACATGTGTTTGCCTGGGCTTAGTGCCTTGTTTTTCTCTGCCTGAAACATCTTCTGGTGGGTTATAAGCAGACTTGTCAGGACTTTTATGAGCTAATATCCATACCAACAGTATCTTTCTAATATCTGATAGATGAAACCCTCTGTCTACAAACAGGCACTTAACCATTCAAGTCTCAGAAATAATGACATTGTAGGATTCTGCAGCATGGTAAAAAATGAGCTGTGAAACCAAATGTCCCAGTGAGGGCATAATCTCCTGGATTCAGATTTGCCAAAATAGGTTAAGACTTTCTCATTCTGAACCTGCTGCAGCTGACTGGAGCAGGAAGGGACCTTTCTCTTGTCTTAATCCTGTCAATTGCCTTGTTCATCTGCCACGCAACACTACATTCATCTCACGGTAAGATTGGCTCAATGTTACTTTTCAGAGATCTCTCTCAGTTACAGTGACTCATCTCAGCTTCCTAGTAACTACAAAAAGGTTGTCACTGTTCATATGTAAAGCAGTGAACCAAAAGGAAAGGCTTTCACAGATGCAATTTTTTTTCCAAGTGGACATGTTAATCTGGCATGTGTGTGAAGGCATATCTATAAAGTTCTCTTTTCTGGGGCTTCTGGGTGGGAAGTACACATAAAATTTAGGAACTGAAAAGAAAGTGTAACTAGAAGAGTTTTCCATTTTTTTTTCATCAATAAGGGTGGGGTGGGAGACACACCATCACTTATTCTATTTAATATTTTAATTTCCAAAGTGTGTGTATATGTAGATGGAGAAAATGGAAGGCTTACAGGTATGTTTGTGTTTATTTCTTTCCTCAGATGCAGACAGACACTCAGAGGTAACTGGAAGTCCTCTGAAGAGCAAAAGCACTAGAAAACCTTTGGCATGTATCATTGGTTATTTAGGTGGGTACATATGTTAGACCTGTTTTATAATTCTATGTGCAGAATCCTCCAAAGCTCCTATATACTTTTCAAGTGACTTAAATTAGATCCATTCAGATCTTCAGTTGGTTATTAAATTCCAGCTAAAGATTACATTTGAAAAAGCCATCCTTTATATTGGTTTTTCCCCCCTGCTTTTACTCTGAAAACCCTCAAGCATAAGGGTCATTAGAACTCTTTGTTCTCTTTGCATGTAGAAACTTTAATGCTTTCATAATTAAGAATGGTATTGTCATAAAAAGATTGTTAGGCAGTAACCTCATGATTTCTTTGCAAAATTTTGAGATGAATAATTTATATAATGTTGGTTATTAATATACCTCGATGCAAAAATGGGATTGTGTGCGTGCTTGAATTGTTTATTAGCTTTTCATTTCCTTATAAAAATGAAATGCATTCCTAGGATGACATTCAGTCTTCTTGTTTTGTCAGAGAAATTTATAGATATAAAGTAATCATACTACATACTTTAAAGACATCAATCTTTCTTAAAATCAAGACACAGCCCTTTGTTGTGAATGTTGTAATCAGAGCAAATTACGATTCCACAGCTCAGAACAGCTCTCTTTATACTTCATGTCCTTCCAGGGAAAAATAGAATTCTTAAGATGTTCCCCTTCCAGTGTCATATGATCATTATGGTATTGGATTAGTTAGTCGTTGCAAAGTGCATTGAGATTTCAGTGTGGATTTGGGAGTCAGAAGATCTGGGTTACAGTCCTAGTTCTGACGCTGTATGACCGTGGGGAGCAAGTCACAAGAGTCTCAGTTTCTTCATTTGTAAAAAGGGGGTGATACTTGCGCTTACCTAGCATGGCTATTGTGAACAAGGTGCCCTTATATATAAAATTTTAAAACCTCACATATAGATGTGAGTATTATACTCCATTGTAGGGTCTAATTCCATAATCTTGTGACAGGAGTTCCTACCCTTATCCTTTATACAGTTTTTTGAAGGAACAGAATATTCCACTCTACTCTATGAGTCAGTTTCACAGTCAGTTGGGGACTTCTCCTTTCAGCCAGATCATTATACTGATATGGGCCAAATTTGAATAATGGCACAACATTTCTGTGGGATAGAGAACCAAGAGGTAGTCAGCCCAGTAGAACCATTCGAAGGGGTGCAGCAAATCAAAGCAATTGCCTCAAGGCCTCCATTTTTAGGGGATACTGTGCTGCTTTTGGCACTAGACTGCTGAAAATGTGTTGTGACTTGGTCACCAATGGAAAGAGAAGGGGGCTAACCAGTTGGTACAAAAAGAAAGCTGAGGTGCTCATATGCATACAGTTAACAGCTAGTTCTGAGAGGCACTCCCCCAAATTCTTCATCCTTTGTCTCCAAGACACAGAGCCTATGGATGCCTAATTGGCACCAACGTGCCTATTCCTCCTTCCACATAATAATTTTTATTAATAAAACAGTAATTATAATAACATTTATAATTCTTTAAGGTTTGCAAAATATTTTACATGGGTTATCTCATTTGATTCTCACAACTCTGTGAGGTAGGTGGTATTTATAATTACCATTTTGTTGATGAGGCTAAGAGGCTCATTGATTTGCTCATGGTCCCATAGCTAGTTAAGTGTCTGAGGCAAGATTCAAACTCAGATCTTTCTGACTTTAAGTCCAACATGTGTTGTCCTTTGGTGTCTTCTCTTCATTGGTCCCTTCTTTTTCTCTGAAATTTTTATACCTGCTGACTTATTCCAGGTGTTTGTGGTTCCAGATTCTTCCTGTATAAGGGTGTTAACAGACTGAGAGCCAGGTGTAGTGAAAAGAGCAGAAGATTTAGCTTTGCCAGCTAGTTCCTAGGCATTTGACCTTACTGAGATCACTTACCTCACTGGCCTCAGCTTCCTCATAGAAAATAAGGGGGTCTACAGTGTCCCTTCCAGCTAAGTCCTTTGCTCCTGTGGGTAAGGATTCCTATGTAGTAATTTATCCTGGGTCCTGCATTCCTCCTCCCCAACCCTCACCTCAGACCCTCGGGTATGCCTACTTATAATTTAATTGCAGATGGAGATGTAAAATGGTAACTAGGACACCTGGGAAGATAGTTCCTGGCTTGATTTCAAACATACAGAGTAAAATATTGATAGTCATACCTTTTGGGGGGTTTCCTTGGGGCTACATATCTCCCAGGAGTCTGGTGATTTCTAATGCTGTCCTTGCCATGCTTCCAGTGAAGAGCCGGGTGCCCTGTTCCTTTAATAAGATAAATGTTCTGAGTGACCTCAAGTGGCTGCTTTTGCATATAATCTCTACAAAAGGCTCAGATCTAGCACTCAGGAGGAGAGCCAACCCTTTTTAGATAAATAGAACCATGGTAACTAACACTTGAGGATGATTCATTATGCACTGCCTTGAAAAATATGCTGGTTCATAAGGAATTTACTTTAAGATCATTAGAAAATAAGATATGTATGTAGTCAGCAGCTAGGATGCATAGAGATCTTGTAATAACTTGTTCTTTGTTGAGAAAAACCTTATTTCTTGTCAACAGAGATCCATCCTGCAAAGAAACCAAATGTACTAAGGTCTGCACCAAGCCTGCAAAGCCCATCTACTAAGCGAATGCTTGCCACCCCAAACCATGCGTCTCTGAGCATCCTGGGAAAGAGAAACTACAGCCATCACAATGGCCTGGATGGTATGTAAGCCTAGCACTACAAGGAGACGTTGTAATAGGTTGAGTCTTTTTCTCCTTTGCTAGAGGTTAATGTCTTAAGAAATGAATCATAGATATGCTACCCCCAGTCCTTGTGTCTGATCCAAGCGTACCATAAATGCAAGGAGATGGGGAATTTGCCCTCGCCACGTCGTCTTTAATCTAGCCCGGCGACATTCCTCCAAATCACTCTGAAGATGTGACATTTTTTCACTCACTGCTCTCATATGGATAGTCTGTAGAAGTGATTTGAAATTCAGACACGTATATAGCCTGTATTTAGCAGGCTGCTTTTCTGTCCTGGGAATGTCCTGTCCCTAACTTTTAAAAGCAAGGAGAAGGTTGACTGTACCAATCAGTTTCCTTGAACAAATGTGATGATTTTGCCTTACGTCTGAGTCATCAAACAGCTTCAGAGGGACCCTTCTACAGTACAACGGTCACTTTGTGGTTTGTGCTTGCCCCTTCCACTTTTAACTTGGGCCTTTTTAGTACTTGGCTGGACTACAGATTACCCTAAGGGAGCTACCTGGGAATACTTGGAACCAAAGGCTATGCCTTGCGTGTGGTAAACACAATAAAATTGTGTTGAATAAATGAAAGACCAAAAAATGGAAAGGCTCGATTATAGTATGCCAACTTCAGTATCATAGTACCAGTGTTGGGTTTGTCTGTAATGACTTTCTTCTTTTGAAACAGAGTTTGCCTGAATTGCAAACATATCTGGAATAAATCAGCCAGAAAATGCATTATACATTTCAGAAGTCCTTGAGTTTACAGCTGCCATGGTTGTTTAAGTGTTCACATATTTCTGTGAACAAGACTGTTCCTAGACTTCTCATACCTTGTTGAACTCTACACTCTCTCAGTGCCAGTAGGTCACATAGGAAATCCCATAGGGTGAAGATTTCCTCAGAAATGCTTTTCATCTACTTGCCTACCAAGTTTTGATAGTTTCAGTAATGACTGTAGCAGTGAAAATTTGGAAGAGCTAGAGTAGGAAAACTGCTCATAAATCTTTTGCCACCAGTGCTGTGTTGTAAATATACTTTTGGAGAATATAGACCGTTTTTCAGTCCTTACGGATTCATCCTTTGAGCCTTTTCAAAAACATTTACCTGCTCACAAAAATGTTAGCCAACTGTTCCCACACTAATGAAGATCTCAGCAGTGATGTACCTGCAGTTGGTACAGCTGAAGCCGAAGGAAGGGCCAGAGTCAAGGACTTGGCATACTTAAAATCTTCTCTGATTCTTACTCGTCTCCAGCTTCCCTTGTTTAAGGACTTAGTCTTTTGGATCCAGTCTTATTGGGTCCAAGAAATCCTATCTTTCTATCTAAATACTTTCATTTTGTCTTTGAGGAGTGTGATCTTAGCCACAGAGGCACTAAACACAGTACCAGAATATTTATATTTTGTCTTTGCAGAAGCTGATGAGTAGAACAATAACTTTGAGCCCAGACAGTAGGGAAACCATCTCTAGCTATAGCAGGAACATCTTGTTAATACCATTCCTAGCATCTCCACCCACCCCTCAGGTATAGTCATCCTGGGTCTTCCCATCATCTGGTGTGGCTCTTCATGTTTTCTTTCTCAGTGCTTTTTCTTTCCTAAGGGAAGAGTACTTCTGTCCTGGGTGCTATGCTGATAAAGTAGTGCTAAGGGGTACTACTCCCTTGGAGAAGGCCATCCTAATCTGGCATCAGGTTTCAGCAGCAACAACTTCCTGTCTTTATCTGAATGATTAAGGCCAGTTCTCTGGTCCCTTCTTACTACGTACGAAAGGACACAGACAAAACAGGGTTCTGACACAGAATTTCTGCATTCCCAGAGATCTGAGACACTGCTCCCTGGACCTAGCCCCAAATGGGCAGGTTTCTCTGAAAGCTACAGTGACTCAGACAAGAGAACAAGAAGGAATGTACTAACAAGACTGAATGTGGAGGTCCCTGGGTCATAGGGTCCTGCTGACCTTCTTTTGGGAGTTCATATGGCATTGCTTGATAATAACTGCTCCCCATAAACAGAAGTCTCCCAGTCAGATCAGCAGCACCAAACTTTGGCCGCTGTCCATTTTAATGAAAAGCTTCCTGTGAGCTAAATTCCGAAGAAAGAAGTACCAGCTGATAAGAACTGTTTCAGTTCTATAACTCCCACTGCTTCTCTTGCCTGCCCCAACCCCATTTATTCATGCTTCCTTTGGCCTGGAATATTTTGTCAGTTTCTTTCCTCTATAGCATATTTTTCCACAGGAAATATGGTCTTCCCTAGAAGAGTGCAGGAAGCAAGTCTCTCAGGCATCTGCATTGGAGACAGGGATGAAGAGGGTTTGGAGAGATATTAAGAATGCATTATTGATACTTCAGGGGCATCTAGGTGGTGCAGTAGATAGAATGTTAGGCCTGGAGTCAGGAAGTCTCATCTTCCTGAGTTCAAATCTGGCCTGGGACACTTACTAGCTGTGTGACCCTAGGCAAGTCACTTAATCCTATTTACCTCAATTTCCTCATCTGTAAAATATGCTGAAGAAGGAAATGGCAAACCACTTCATGATCTTTGCCAAGAAAACCCCAAATGGGTCAAAACAGTCAGACGTGACTGAAAACGACTGAACGACATTGATATTTCAGGTATACTACCAATAATAATAGCTATAAACTTACTGTGTGCCAGGCACTGTACTAATAAGCACTTTACTATTATTATCTCACTTGATCCTCACAACAACGCTGGGACGTAGGTACTAGTATCCCTGTTTTATAGATAAGGAAACTGAGGCAAACAGCAAGTAAGTGACTTGCCTAGGGTCACACAGCTAGTAAGTGTTTGAGGCTGGATTTGAACTTAGGTCTTTTTAACTCCAGGCCTGGTGTGTTCAATCCACTGTAACACCCAACTGCCTATTTGTCCTTTCAAAACTTCCCCAAATGTTATTCTGCAGTATCTTGACCCCAGTTTTAATTGCTTTCCTTTCTCTTGTTTCCTTTTGAATGTTGATGCAAATGTAGTACTTTACCTTCTCAGGAAATTGCTGTGGTATAAAAAGATGGCATTTATAAAACTTTTAGAAATAAAAACTACAATAAGCTGTCCCTTGATCTGGTGATCAGAGGATCATAGTTATAGAATTATAAAGGACCTTTCAGATCTAATATCAACTATCCTTTATGGTAGTTGAGGAAATTGGAAACTAGAACGTTTAAATTACTTACCCAAGGTCAAAAAGGTATTAAGTGGGAAAAATCAAGGTTCAAAGCCCAGGTCACTTGTCTCCATAGCCAGTACTTTTTCCATGGTGGAAAAATGGATGTGGTGACTGTCTTAGAACTAGACAGAGAGTAGAAACTTTACTACTTTGGGAAAGGAAAAGAAGTTAGTTTTCGTTTTATGAAGAGGATTATAATCATAAATGTAGAGTTAAAGGGACCCTCAGAAATTATTTGATCTAATGTCCTTATTTTACAGTTGAGAAAACTGAGGGAAGTTGTGATTTGGCCAGGACAACACTGGTAGTGTCAGATGCAGAATTTGAATACAGGTCTCTAATTCCAGAGACGCGCTTTTTTCACTCCACCACATTTTTCGATAGTACAGTTCTGTACCTAGATCCTACATGGAGTTTTCTTCCCTGTAGTGATATAGAAAAGGTAGCACTTAGTGATTTGACTATAGCCATATAACCAGTATGTGTCAGAGATGGGATTTAAACTCAGGTCTTCCTGACTCCAAAGCTGGCTCTAATCTTAACTCTAACCCACCATGTTTCCTTGCTTCTCTGAAAATCATGGAACAGCAACCAATTGCCATTAATCCAAAGGGTAGTAGAAAGATATATGGCAGGTATACATATGTATCAGTAAATACTTATTGGTAAGTCAGTATTACTTCTTTTTGCAAGAAAGAGATAACAAAGCATTAAGGAGGAAACAAAAGGAAATTCAAAAAATGAATGACAGGGGATCTGTATTGAATAAAAGGAATTGGGCCAGTCACTCATCAAGAATGTAGGATAACATGTGCACAACCATTAAGGAAGGCTACCCAGGGCTATCTTTCATGAAAAAGATGTGGACAAAGAATCATACAGGATGAAAATAATGGAGAGACTGCCCACATCAGTGAGATGATAGGTTCATTTATATTCCAAAGTATAGAATGTATATGTTTGGAGATGCATGTCACTAGGAAGTATGTACATAAAAAAGTACATGTATATACATTGGAGCTTTATGTGCAAGAAATTTGTGAGTTTATCACGCGTGCAATCAAATAAAGCATCTAAGTTCATGTGCCAGGCATTTAATGTCTTTATTTCCTCTGTGACATCCAAACCATTTATAGTCCATCCAAGGTATGTTTAGCTCAGTCCTCTCCCCCCTTCTCTTTACTTTCTCAAGCTCTTTATGTCTGACCTAGACCCTACCTACCCTCTCTATATTATAGTCCTGGTGGAAAGGATCAGGGTCAATGTAACAATGAGGAGACAGAAGAGAGAAAAGACATTTAAGAAATGCCACACATTAAACAAAGTTTGATCTGGAAAATTAACTCATTTTTGTAAGCACTCATATATTATATACAATTAATGTTAATACTTGTGCTGCTTTTAACTCTCTGTATCTCTTATATTACAATATAACTATTGAGAAAATTAAAGTCGACAGCGTATCTATTGGTACATCTATTTGTATATTTTCATTATTAATTGGAAGGGCAAAGGTAATGGTAATGTCTGTTAAAGGAAATTGCCTTTAATGAAATGTGAGGAAATTACTTTTCTCTTGTACTTTTTTTCCTTTTCTCCTCTGTTTCTTACTCCAAAGAAGGAAGGACAGGGAGCCAGGATAGTCTACTTAATTATAGATTTTTACCTACTTTTAGGACTCCCCTCATTCCACTGTTTTTTTTTCTTCCCAACTTTCTTATTAGACAGAAGGAGAAATTAGGGAGAGATTCAAGCGGGGAAGGAGTGGTATGGGAC